CCTGAAAGAGTACATTTATAATAAGTGCTCAAAATGTCCCCCATGAAATTAAACGCACGCCTCGACATCCGTAAGAACATGCCTGGGTAGTTGCGGATAGTCTGACAAGCGTTCATATTCAGAAGAAGTGCCTTCTCGTTGTCAACAGCAGCTGCACACAAGGTTTTTGGCTGTCCCCACAGTCCAGAGGATTCAGATCTGGCGTGGAGCGTGGAGCCCATGCAGTGGGTCCTCCTCTACCAATCCGCCTGTCATGATAGGTGTTACTGGGAACATATCGCAGAGCGCGGCTAAAATGTGCTGGACCACCGTCAGACATTCACTACTTTCTGGTTGTGGTTGCCAATGATACAACTTCCAGTAGCTTTGGCAGATCGTGTAAGAGGAATTCTCGGCACTGTTTGCCTGAAGTGGGAAAACATGCGGGCCTCCCAAACAGTCGCCACTAATCCTTGCCCAAATATTAAAGTTGGACCACTGATGGTGTCTAGAATGGACTACAAGACGTGGATTCTCCCCTGCCCACTGATGTTGGTTGTGGTCAATGGTAATGCCGTAACTACACCGGCAACGTTGAACGGACGCCCAGTGCATAATGAGACGTATCGAGGTGTGCACTGAATCTCGTGGATGACTTTTTGAGCACTTATTTTAAATACAATCTCTCATATTGAACTCACAATTTAAACGCTCCCGGACACATGTTGATATGGATTTCTACTTGTTTAGTGTGTTTGGTATTCTGTTGAAATTAAAATATTAAGTTTCAGACATGCTTGCGAAGTCTCATGAAAATACGAAAATAATAATAATGCTCTTTGCTTCGGACAGGGAATGCAGTAACCATGCCTCTTAGCGGCCTCCGTAGTCTAGAGGTAACGTTCCCACCTCATGACTGGTAGTACGCGGGTTCAAATACGCGGCGGAGGTCGTCGAATTTTTAAGGGCGGAAAAATTCAGGGAACAAGTCCTCCGGGAGGGACTTTAAGCCGTGGGTCCCGTGTCGTAGCTTTACGGCACGTAAAAGAACCTCATATCTCCAAAGGAGGTCACTGAGCAAAATTCACGGACGTTTCCCGCCCAACAGCAGTCTCTAATACCTCTGGTAGATGGGGGAAGCATTATAGATACCTCTCAGCTAGCAGAGCCGGTCTCGCTGGCTGGGCGGGACTGATGGTAAGCACCAGTACCGGTAGGATATAGAGACTGGTAGAAATCATAGAGGGAAGCACAATGGACCAATACAGGTCTCAGTGCATTGGGAAACCCACCCTCTCCAATAACTAACTAACTAACTAACCAACCATGCCTCTTAATAAAGAAGAAATTCCAAATGATGCTCCCATTCTGATAGGAAGAACAGCGACGATATTAAGCAGGATTTATTTATGTACGTTTAGGCCTATCATGAGTGGCTAATTAAACGCACAGGAAACTGACAGAACAAATGCAATTCCGGAATAAGTAGATATGAGGAAGACAGGTTTTTTATATTTCGTAAATGTTGCACTTGAAGAAGCCGGCAGGTTTTCCATAAAATGCAGAAGAAGAAGGACGACAACAACAACAACGTTAGGATGTTGTACAATTCTAGTGTCAATAAATCACCCTAGCATATACTATTATAATCACACTGGATTATCGTGATTGCTCGAAGTCTTAGAGCTATATAAAGACATTTTACTGCCACGATAGGCCGTGCCATAGCTCAGGCGATTAGTCACCGGCTTCCAACCGCGGTGGCCAGGGTTCGAGCGCTGGTCTGGTCATGTGGGATTTGTGGTGGAGAAAGTGACGCTGGGGCACTTTTCCCTTGCCAATTCTCGTTCCACCGACTGCTCCGCTTTCAGCATCATTACCCGTCATCCGGGTCTGGTACAATGGGCCAAATAGTAACTGAAGTACCAGCAGATTCAGCCTCACCCCACCCTCAGAAACTAAACTACTGCCAGGATGTCCAGCAAGAAGATGGAAGGAATAGTTTTAATCCTTTTAATCGAAAGAGGTACAAGCGCTTATCTGTGATGCTGAAGATGCCGGATCTTAAAGACGTAGTGAGGTCGATATCTGAAATTTCACTCCGAGCAGGTTTCAATGGAAGCTGTTGTGAGTATGGTTCCTTAGGGTGGCGTTTCTTAAGTAGCTGAGTAATAAACTTACAAAGTAGGATTGTGTTCCACGGAAATGGTTAAACTCTTTTTTATGTCTGTATTATAACTGAATGCTTTGAAAATCTGTTCATAGAGTCGTATATTAACTGCTTATTACCATCTACCCTTAAGTTCATCTGCGTGTCATGTTAGGTTATCATGTTCTTTCTTATTTCTGTCAGTACACCTAATATTGATTCTACATAACATCTTCTGTCGTCCCGTAGAGAATAAAGGTAACTGACCGTTGCCTAACAAAATTCCGTGGTATCGAGCTGAATGACGGATTGTGTTGTGAAAGAGGACAAGACCGATTTGTTTCCATTTCTTCCAAGCCTGCAATTCAGAATCACTCTAACGAGACTATAGTTCGAAGAAGAAAACCGAGGAATATTTTCTGTAAAGTATAACTGATATTTGGAAGTTCTGTCTTCTGGACACAATGCCTTCTAGTCCGGCGAAATTGAACTGACTCTTCGGAGAAACGTATCGATTCAAATTTCAGAGCCGAGCATGAAACCGGCGTGAACCAGGATGCATGTTTGACTTGCTAGTTTCTTGTTTACTCTTTGAACCTCAAAACGGAGGCGAAAATATTTATTTAATTTTCGTTACTTAAAGGATATAAATATGTATCAATTTAAAACCTGAATGAACATATATTATTGCATAAAACAACTTTTTTTTTCAGTTTTGTTGGGTTTACGTTATCACAATGGTGGCAGTACTATCGTCTGGGGTGTACCGTCCGTAGGAACATATCATCTACAGCTTCAGGATCAAAGATTACGCCAAACATGAGACCATCATGGGGCAGGAAGCAACCATTCGTCCCAAACTTCGGTTGACTTACATCGGAATACATGGCGTTAAACCCTAAAGGATAAAAATCTTTCTTTTGAGTCCTACTTTTAAAACAGAAGTACCTGAATGGCCGAAGTCTTGCAGTTTTGTGACGTAATTCAATTCTGAGAATATGATGTTGTTGCTCTCTACAGCTGTAACCATCTACATTATTAAATGATGACTGACGATGTAACCTCAGTTATGTTTCCCATACGGTTTATTATGCGACCTTTCGCCCCACAACCTTCTTTCTGCAACTGAAAGACCTATAGTATCGTTCCATTATTTTGACAACTTACTCGAAGCCTTACAAGCCTGTTGCTGTCATTATGTTGCGCAACACTTTCAGGAAAGCACTGAACAGACAAATCACACATCAGACCTTGTACCGTAGAATTCGAAGGACGTAGAGCCCAGCATAAATTATGGTATCTCTTACACATGGCAGTTTCTAAAAATAAGACATTAACTTACGAAAAATTCTGTGTGCTTAATTTTCATTTAATTAACTTCTTATGGCAGTATTAACCGGACTTGCTACAGATAATCACAAAGAGAAGAGGCTAAAACATCATAACGCCTTAAAGAACTATACGGTTTATTTTGGGCTCTATCCATCGTCTGGTATATATAAGACAAAAAACCACAAAGTTTCGGAGACTGGATCTGTCTCCGTCTTCAGGCGGATGGGACAAGATATACCTACTCAGTTGGGCCCGTTAGAATGAGCTAGTCTCAATCACTGGACCTCTCAGCTCTTTTTAGCAGATCCAGTCCCCGAAAAGTTGTGGTTTTTTGTCTTATATATACCAAACGATGGATAGAGTCCAAAATAAACCTCATAGTTCTATACGGCATCGTCAGAATCCTTTAAAGTCAAATCATAACGCCTATTTATCATTACCCCTTTTGAAGTTATAGGAGTACAAAACGTTTCTGAACAGACTGTTGCAACAATTACCCCGTGGACCATTACTCATTTGACACTTAACTTGAATCTCATTAAGATTATAGGCAGTTCTGACAACGATCTTCCTCGGGCTTTTATTTTATATATTTGTTCGTATTAGTTGCAGAATTCGCACTTCATAACATGGTATTTCTCTCTCCTTTTGCTCTCTCCTCTCGCTCCAACTTTGGAGCATGGGGCTGATTTCCCGGTTTCGTGATCATTTAACAGACGGTAGGACTCCTTGGACGGGTGATCAGCTCGTCGCAAGGCCTCTACCTAAACACAAGAAAGACAACACAAACGCATACACACACTAAACATCCATGCCTTGCGTGGGATTCGAACCCACGATCCCGGCTTCCGAGTGAGAGAAGACAGTACACGCCTTAGACCGCTCGGCTACCATGACCGGCATAATAGGGTATACCAGCTGAAAATTCTGCTATGCAATGCTAATTATGCGACACGCAATTATTTCTCTACCAATACCTGCTATATCTGAAATGAAAGCCATTTTAAATCCTCGCTCTTTCGTCGCACGTTCATAATGTTATAACACAGTATTTAGCTTCTGATAATTTTTAATCAGCTTAAAGCTAAATCTATTAATTTATTAAATCATGAATATGTTAACATGCCATTCAAATATTCCATTCCTTTCGAACTGAGCAAACATATCACTTGTTGTAACATACAATATTTTGTTGCAGAACCCACTAAATTCATCACAGGATTAGGTGTGTGTTCCACACTTAGCTATAACAACTGTCCATGAATAACTCCATAATGGAACAATCCATGGAATCATTAATGGAGAACTGTGGAAACGAACTGTGAACACATCTACTTTCGAGGTGAATTCAGAGCGTTGTACCAGAAAATAATATCTTGCATTTCTTGTTCTCGTTCAAAATTATATTGTTACGTTAATCAATGCACTACTTAGTATTAGCAGTTTTCTAATTTAACAAAAGAACAGAGTAATTAAAGAAGTTTTCTTTTGTTGATTACTGAACTGAATATCATGCAACAAAAGATTCTGACGTACTTACTCTACATTGGTGCCCGGTGTTGGCAGATCGCCGATAGTGGTTAAGGTAAGCGTTGACCAATAAAGCGATCCTAGGTACTTGCGTGTCAGCTCTTGGTATCCCGGTTCATTGTACGGATACCCCCACACGCCGATAAACCCTTGAGCTTCTGATAACAGGTAGTAGAAACATCCAAACCAGTGAGCCAGAATCAGCAGGATGTGCACCAAGTTCACTACTCGCCACAGGTTGGGATACACCGTCCTAGACTCCACCATGTAATAGTAATCATACACCCTGTACACTTTAAGGAACCTAGGGAACCTCAATATTGGCTGCATTCCGAGATAGAACTGCAAGAAATCAAGAGGTAGGAGCGCACACAAATCCATCAGGAACGCACGAGAGCGGACGTAATGTCCAGCGAGTTTTTTGGAATCGTAAACCATTAGTCCTTGTTCGAGGTATCCTGTGCGGAACTGGACGGCGACATCCAAGAGAAAAACAGCGTCACTGAAGCCATCACACGTGAACCACAACACGGTCGCGCCTGACTGAAGTTCGGGGAAACTTTGCCGAACGATTAATGTCCACAGGTTATAGAGTACACAGACGGTGAGCACGAAGAGCCAGTAGAAGTAGAAGTTCTCGTCAGGATTGACCACGGTGCGAGGAAGGCGCTGTCTCCGCCGCCGACGTCTCCTTGTGCTTGCTGTGCTCTGACTGCTCGGACCGCCGTCGCCGTCGTCCCCGGTATCCATCGTCTCCTGCAACGAAGATACAGACACAGATAAAATAACTACATGCACATTCTCTAAATCGCTTTCACAAAACAACTAATTTCACGGAGTAAAGCCCTATTGAGGAATTAATTTACTAACCCACTCGAAAAAGTATCTGCATTTTCAAGAAAGACAAAATTCATTGACAAGAGCAAGCCTCATCCATGTGAATCTATTCCAAATTTTATATCGCTCATCATGAAGAGCCATTTTAATGTTAACCTCCCATCTCCGCCTAGGTATAGCAAGTGGTCTCTCCTCATCAGGATTTCCGCCCATAAACATGTAGGCATTTTTCAGCTTCCCATGCATCCTACATCTCCATCTCATCATCTTTCGTTTCACTACACTAATAATATTTTGTTAAGAGTACAAACTACCGAGCTCCTCAGTATACGTTTTCTCCAGCCTCCTGTTCATTCATTCATTCATTCATTCATTATTGGAAGGGGTGGGTTTCCCCATGCACCGCGACCAGTTGTTGATCTATTGTACGTCCCCCTTTGATATTCTACCAGTCGCCATACCCTTCCGGTACTGGTGTTCGCTATCAGCCCCGTTCAGCCAGCGAACTGCCCCTCTACTGGCAGTGGTACCCGATACTTCCCCATCTACCGGAGGCATTGGAAACTACTTGGGCGGGAAACTTTTTACCTAATTTTGCTCTGAGGTCTCCTAGAGACTTGATCTTTTACCCAGCCTCCTGTTACTCCTCTTAGATACAAATATTCTTCTCATCACCCTGTTCTAGAACACCCTTAATAGATGTTCTTTGTTAATGCCTGCGATTAAGTTCAATATTAATACCAAAACCTCAGGAAAGCCTAAATGAAACATGCATAAACAATAATACGCTTGAATTTGGAACGTATCTTCAAAAGGCTGAAAGATGCGGCGGGTATTCAGACTTACACAGTGATTTTCTTTTTCGAATATGCAAACACACTGTCACGTAACCACTGTTGATGAATCCAATGCGATCAAAATATCCCACTTCTGCCATCAGTTGTCACGTGCATGGGTGACTAAAGATGGAGTTCTGACTGGTAATTGGATTTATTAGATACTTAGCGGTCATGCGCACAATAAATTACTACACTATTGCCGCTTTACACAATACAAAGAACTCCACGCTAATCTCTTCAGTCTATCTGCACTAGTCTTCACGGATTTGTAACAGAGGAACTATAAAATTGTCACTAAATCACACTCTGTCAATGTCACTGTGCTACAGCACACATAAAGCCTTCAGATCACATGTTAAATCTTCACAGGCTCATTTCTTGTACTCTTCTGTACTCCTAGTTCCAATTCCATCTGAACTTACAGCTCTCGGCTCTCGCTACACAGCCGCGGAACGGACATGGACCTATAGTAAACACGTATCACATGATTGCTGTCCAGTCAGTCTACTGGTTCATTCACAACTTCCTCTATTGTTGCATGTTGGACCTTGTTTACAGAACTGCATCCTGGCAACGCGTTATCTGTTGGATCCAACCCGAGGCTATATAACGATAACAGGCCAGCTAAGACAGAATCGAGGGAGTTCTTTGAGATGGCAGTCAAAATGACTGGGGAGAAATGGCAAGACAGTAATTAGGCTATGAAAAGACGACTTCATGTGTGTTGCAGTTACGGTGAGGCTGGTATAATTACTATGTTGAAATCCGTTACCAGGATACGACCAGTGAAGCCTTGGAATCCTATTGTGTAACAGTGAACTGTAAAGTGTGGATCAGAGATAGCGCTGTACTGCAGTAATGAGTTGAGTGTATGAGTGCAATAAATCCAATTTACCAATCCGAAACCTGTCTAATAGTCACACACCCGCCTACACGTGACAGTATTATTTGCTGCGCAGATGAGAATGTACAGACTTCACCCATCTTATTGGAAATGACCTCTACTCACCAGAGAACTGCTAGAAGGGCGTAGCTAGTATCGATATTATTTAACATTTCTTCGTGTTTCTTATAAGAAATGAAAAATATGAAATTAAGCCTAACTAACTGCAGAGAACTAAATGGAAAAAAATTCTTTTTGAGAAGGTAATAATTAGTCAATCAGTCAAGAAATTCGCTCGTCTATGAAAACAAAACGTTTATTTCCGTCTCTATGAGCGCTCTCTTCTTATATCTGTCCTGAGCCAGATTAATCCAGTTCACATTCTCACACCTCCTTTTTTAACGTAGTAGATATTGTGACGTATCTTGGTTACGTGGATAATAATTAATGGATTCGGGATTAGATTAATCGATTTACTGAACGCTCAGCATTCATAATTACTAACAATTATAACACTTCAAAAAGTTACTGGAACAATAACATAAAGTCTTCAACACTTCAACTCTTGGATACTCCTGGAACGAGAAGGCCTGTATGGCCTTACGCGCCGTCAGCCCCTTTCCCCCAGGAAAATTTCTGGTACTCATTTCTGTTAGAGGCTGAGTTGACCCCATGGCCATAGTGAGGTTGGAAGGATTACATCAATAGAAAAATTGAGTGACCTCATCAAGAATCGAACCAGTCGACCTTCCGTCTTGTAGCATAGTGCCTCAACCAACAACGCTACCGGGCGCCCCATGGACAGTACGAACGAGACTGTAAATATTTGTAGTTTTGGCTATGAATAAATGAAATTATAAATTGCAATTACGTGTACTGAACTTTAGGTATGATACATTCACGGATGGCCAAATTGGAAGCGAACGAGTGGAGAATGATGGCCCAATCTCGTCGGTGTTACTCGTTTGGGCAAGTGTGGCTCATCCTCGGCAACTTTCTTAAACTCTGTGTTTAACAGCGACTAATACCTTGCTGACACTGCTTCGTGTGGAGACTTAGTATGAAAACAGTACCGACGTAAAAGGAATCAAGCTGAGGCAACATTAAGAGAGGAATTAGCATATTGTATTCTCATATGCTCCTAGACATTCCAAATGATCTCTTCCCTTCCCTCGTTTTGCGACCAAAATTGTGCACGCATTTCCCATCTCTGCCATGCGCGCTACAGGTCCATCTCATTTTAGCCTCCTTGATTTGATCATTCTGGTAACATTTGGTTACTACATGTAATAATTACTTCGGCAGTTTTACAACTAAATTTCGGAAATGTTTCGAAATTTGCCTGACTCATGTAAATCGAATGACGATCTTAAATACCCTTGTATTTGACGTCTTTCTCCCCACACCCACGTCTCACTACGATCTGTTACTGGTTTACTGAATGTCACGTGTGTGCTCCTCTGTTATTTTACCAGAGAGTGCAGATTATTCCACTTCATATATCCTTAGGAAATATTTTTTAGGAATATTGCCAGACAGCTTAGGCCATTATCGAATTATTATTATAATAAATATTAACGTATTCGGAGCTAGGAACGTACTCCTCAATCGATTTTTATAACACAGTATAGCTGTTACTATTATTATTATTATTATTAGCACGAACATAAACTAGAATTAAACTGAATTATTATTATTATTATCACTAAATATCTATACTTTACATTTCTCAATTATCAATAGCAACTTAGATTTGTGATAATGAAATTATTATTATTATTATTTTGTTTCCTTATATGCATTAATGTGTTTTTTTCCCCAGTGTTTACCTTTAATTAGTCTTTGAATTTATGTTGTGCTTGTCCAGTAGGTAACTACTTTTATCTACATTGTGCTGTGTCTGTAACTGGCCTTGCGGCTGTTGGCTCAGCATATAAATAACAAGAACTGAACTACAATGAATTATCAAGGGGAGAAGAGGAATGCATGTAGGATACTGGCGGGAAAGCCAGAAGGAAAGAGACCACTGGTTAGAACAACACGTAGGTGGGTGTACAATATTAGAATGGATCGTAGAGAGATATGATGGGATGGCATACATTGGATTGATCAGGCTCAGAATAGGGTCCAGTGGAGGGCTTTTGTGAACACTGCAATGAACCTTCGGGTTCCATAGAATGCTGGGAAGTTCATGAGTAAGTGCACAATAGGCAGCTTCTCAAGAAGGGCTCAGCTCCACGAGTGAGTGATCATCATCAACAGCTGAAGTAATATTGCCGCTGAGTGTGACGGTTCCATGGCTCCCACAACTTTGTCTCGTATTATGTTCTTGGGATGGAGGTCGACTGTTCTAACTTGGGACGGGGTCCGTGGGTTTTCTCAGCTTTTCCGCACAAATGTATGGGAAGAGCTCGACATTAAGCCAGGAACGCTTCTTTCCACACCCTTCGCAAATCGCCACTTAATGCTAAATAACTGACGTAGTTAAGAATGACTCGATAATGAATATAAAGGCAGTATTGTTGTTGCTGCTGCTGCAACAAAGGCGCAGCTAGTGGCAAATCGTTATTTCGAATAAATGAATTTATCATTTAAATTAAACTATTTGTAACAGTGGGTAACCAGAATGCAAGGTAACTTTTTAAAACGCTTATAACTATCTTCAGTGAACAGAATTGTTACTCAGAAGCTAACAGTCTCTCAATTAGTAAAGGAATTCCCGCCTTTTATGGAACCCCAAAAATTTTTTGCAGCGTTCATGAGGTCTCGCCACGGTCCCCTCTCCTGATTCAAATGATTCAAGTCCACAACCTCACACACTGTTTATTGAAAATACATTTTTATACTATCCTCACACCTACGCCTAGGTCTCACAATTGGCCCTTTTCCTTCAGGTTTATCGACTAAACCATTATTGTATACTGATAAAATTGACGACAGCAAGTCAGCTGGACGTTTCGAGATGCCTTGTATATTCTGCAGAGGTAAGTCTTATCTGTATGATGAACAGGCAGTAGCAGACATCGCTTTTACGATTCTCTACGAATCACAAGTTTTGCATAGCCCCTCTCTCGTAATTTTTTACATTATAACGGCATAATTCAATGTAATGAGATGCTGTTTCCAACAGAAGTTTTTCCTCTTACGTTCAGCAAGTGTGCAGTTTTCTCAAATTATAACTACAAGTACATTAGGAC